TTCTAAAAGGAACCCCCATGCAAAATTTGAGACTCCTAGCACTTGTAGTTTCTGATATTTCGTGATGAGTGAGTCAGTCAGTCAGATACCTATGACTAATATTTAAACTATTTAAAAAAAAAGTAGTTTTTACTTGAACACGTAAATTCATGCAACTGGAGCATGAAGTTTTATTGAACTGACGACGTGAGCTCACTCTAGCGAGGCGGGGCTCGTTTATATAAATATAACTTATGTAAATAAGCTTATGTAATCGAAATTAGTTGTCTTACATAAACAGTTGTGTTAAACCTTGCGGTTTTCCTTGAAGTATACAAACAGAAGGATTTTGAAGTACGTTAGTCTGAAGGGGAAACTAAAATGGCGGAAATAAATTAGGGAATTTTGTGATTAACTAAAAATAAACCCTTGCGGTTTTCCTTGAAGTATACAAACAAAAGGATTTGAAGTACGTTAGTCTAAAGGGGAAACTAAATTGGCGGAAATAAGTTAGGGAATTTTGTGATTAACTAAAAATAAACTACACAATACGTGGAGCGTTCGCGACGACCTGATAAAGGTAGCAGGAAGGCGCTGGATGCAGGCCGCTACCAACCGTGCGATGTGGAAGTCATTGGGGGAGGCCTATGTTCAGCAGTGGACGACCTGTGGCTGAAATGATGATGATGAAACTAAATAAAATTAAAATTTTTATAATAAATTTAAAAATGAAATCTAATCTTTCGTTTACAAGTTTTTAAGAAAAGAAAAGAAAATACAGTGTGAGTCACGTTAAAGTGTACATATGAAAATAGATGAAACTAGACCTATTTTTATCGACAAAAAAGAGGTCAAAATTTTTTTGAGATTTTTTTTAAATTTTTTATAGAATTTTTTCTCTTCCAATTACTTATTGTAAAGAAAACGTAATAACTTTTGAACTAAGCGGTATATCCTGATAAAATAAAAACAGTAATAATGCTAAATAACAGGCGATACTAAAAAAATACAAAAAATACACAAAAAAGGCCAACAAATAATTAAAAATGATACTTTTTGAAAAAAATCTGCTTTTAAATTCGTGTTTTTTTGGTTATTTGATAAATTTCTCCAAAAAATGCCCCTATAACGGGTGGTTTTTATTACTTTGTATTATTCTCTATCGTATTATCTTTGTAAAACCAAAAATCGCATGTCTCTATCCCTATCACAACATTTGCTATGATCGTTTGAACAAAGGCCTGCCACAACATTATTCTCCGCTACAGGTAGAGATAATTTTAATTTTAATTAAAATGATATTTTACTTCGAAATCTTTTGTTTTTATTTGAAATCTAATTTGTCTTTATCAAAATTACAAATCTAGAGCCATTTTCAGTTTCGTTGTTAACGAAGCGTTGAATGGCGCGCCCGGAGAGGCTTAGTTCAAACGATCATTGCAAACGTTGTGATAGGGATAGAGACATGCGATTTTTGGTTTTACGAAGGTAATACGATAGAGAATAATACAAAGTAATAAAAACCACCGGTTATAGGGGCATTTTTTGGAGAAATTTATCAAATTACCAAAAAAACACGAATTTAAAAGCAGATTTTTTTCAAAAAGTATCATTTTTTATTATTTGTTGGCCTTTTTTGTGTATTTTATGTATTTTTTTAGTATCGCCTGTTATATAGCATTATTACTGTTTTTATTTTATCAGGATATACCGCTTAGTTTAAAAGTTATTACGTTTTCTTTACAATAAGTAGTTGGAACAAAAAAAATTCTATAAAAAATTTAAAAAAAATCTCAAAAAATTTTTGACCTCTTTTTTGTCGATAAAAATAGGTCTAGTTTCATCTATTTTCATATGTACACTTTAACGTGACTCACACTGTATAAAAAAACAGAAACTATTTTTTTCACAAAACTTAGTTAAGTACTAATTAGTTTGATAACATTATCGTGGTCAACATAGATATTTATTTTCATATCCTTAACAATTAATTAAACAAAACAATAGTCATTTAGCCGACTACGATAACGATAACTGGTGCTTTTTGTATGGAGTTTTACAGATTTTTGACGTTTGTCAAACTTAAAGTAAGATGGTGCAACCCAGCCTTAGATTTACATTATATCAATAATTGAAGTAACAGTTCCTAGATTAGGTCATACTGAGCGGAGACCAATTTGGTACAGATAATTCTTTTTTTTTGCTCTTTATGTTGATCTGTATTGTAATATCTTTGATACCAAATAAATATTTTTTCTTTCTTTCAACAGCTTAGTTTTTGTTCAAGTTTAATTAAAAATAACTTATATCCTTCTTGCGCTGCTGTCGCTACTTATCCATGTGCGTGTGAACCGAGAGAATACAAATAAACAGTCTCCCAAATGTGGGGGGCGATTGGGCAGGTATTTTGGGGATGCGTCAGAAAGTATGCATTCAAACCTGCAGACAGTAGCTTTTTTACCCGACAGCAGAAAAAAGGTTATGTTTTTATACTTACAGGTTTTTGACTGTGATCTCGCGGGTTTTGGTCTGTTACACAAAGACATTTTTTTAACGCACGCGTCGCCTCTTTCAAAAATCGGGATAAAAAATCTATCGTGTTTTTCCCTGGGTCTAAAATTATATGTAAAATAAATATAAGAAATATAAACATCCTTGGACATTTAACACTGCGCCGCTAGCCCCAAACTAAGCAAAGCTTGTACTATGGGTACTAGACAACTGATATAAACATACTTAAATACTTTTTTTGTAATACATTATACATAGATGTGTAGCATATAAACCAGTTTGTAAGAATGGATGTTTGTTACTCTTTCACCCAAAAACTACTGATCTAATTTTGATGAAACACTATTGATTGTACATCAAAATAACATATAGGCACGATCTGTGACAAACAACCGCGCGGAAGATTCTAAAAATATAAGAAAGTCAAATATAAATTGTATCGTCTTTTTTGTATATTTCTTTCTTTTCTTTGTTTTTTGTGACGTACAATCTTATTATCTATCTATCTTCTTAAATACGTCACTCCGAAGTTACAATAACAACCTGAACGAATTTCTTTCACAATGAAATAGATTCGTTAAAGATAATTTGTAAACTTTGTCGATTGTCCTCGGAATATTACATTGTTCTTTCGCTAATTGATTCGCCATTCTGTCCCCAAAGTTGGCATTTATAACGATTTTATGCAAAAACGAAAATGGATTTGTCGTGGAAAGAAATACTGGCTTTTGCCCGCGGCTTCGCCCGCGTGACTTTAAATCTCATAAATAACTAATAATAGCACTTTTACACGTCCCAGTATTAACCCTACCACTGCTTCGGGACAATAAATGGGCCAGTGCTGAAAAGAAGCAGCGCAAGAAACCCAGTCACTATTGTCCAGCCATTATCACCCGTATTCACAAACGATGCTTGCTTAAGTGAAGCAGCGAATCGAACGCACATCTGTGATTAGTTCGTGTGTTACCTAGTGCGGCCACGCGCACTGTGAGACCTCATAGTAATGTTTGTGAATACGGGCGTCATTTTGTTACAAAAAACCGACTCTAACACATATGATTTCTTCGTACTAAATTAAAATCTAAATATCTGGTAAATGGTTGACTTTTACCTAGGCATTTAAATAACTAAATTGATTGCAAATAGCCTGTACTATAATCTCTTACAAAGAACACTCGGTACAAGTCACCCTGTATATCTAGGTGCCTACAAAAGTACCTAAAACCTTCCATCATCGAGGAACCAGACGCAGGTTAGCGTACCATCCCTATATTGTTGACATTCCACCAGCTCGCACTAAGCGTTTCGATGACTCTTTTATAATGCGAACAGCTAGGGACTGGAATTCGTTGCCTGCTGCTGTCTTTCCCGAAGACTATAATCCGGGCCTTTTCAAGGCGATAGTGAATAGGCATTTACTTACAGGGCAGATATGTATCATCCTAGTCTGCATCCCACTTAACATCAGGTGTGATTGTGGTCAAATATCTGCCTTGTTATGCATAAAAAACGGTAGATTTTATAGAATTACTTCTATGCCAGTAAAGAATTTACTAAACAGAGAAAGTTGAGTTAAAAAAGATTCACAATGGGATTATACTTACAGAACTTTTTATCATAAATCATAACCCTCCTTCTGGCGTAGTCGGTTAAAAATACCCACTTATTTACACGAGTCAAAACTTAATCATCTTGTTACATAACCTAATCCACGAGCAAGTTGTAACGACCATCTTAAGGGATATATCATTTTAATTTAACCAGCAATTTTGTTACACCTCAGGCATTTTCCCTAAATAGACTAAGAGCTAGTGAACGCCAGACCTACGTCATTTTATAAAAGCTGTAAGTTTGTCAGCGTATGCTCCAATATAGGTTAGAATGCTGGTGAAACATGAAGTTTGGGTCATCGTGGCTTTGGCAGCTATCCTAAAAAAACTGGCAAGGAGTTGGAACTATCTGGCTGATGTGGAAACAACTTCTAATCATTGCTCAAATATTATGCATAAAATAAAAATCAGATTTTTTGGTATTACATAAGAAAAAATACAGTCTACTGAATATACAGAAGAAGCCACCGTCAAAGTTAGGCTTACGTTATACTATAAAAGCTGATTTTTATATAATATTTGGGCAATAACTAGAAGTAGTTTTCTCATCAGCCAGACAGTTTTGACAGTTCCAACTCCTTGCCAGACAGTTTTTTTAGGATAGCTGCCAAAGCCACGATGATCCAAACTTCATGATTCACCAACATTCTAACCTATATTGGAGCGTACGCTGACAAACTTTCAGCTTTTATAAAATGACGTAGGTCTGGCGTTCACTAGCTCTTAGTCTAAAAAGATTATTCTGCCCATCACCAGCGCACATCGACACATAACTACGTTTAATTTCATACAAACTAGAGGTCTACATAAACTGGTAACGTCATTATATAATCCCTCGAATAAAACTTCCCTATAAAAGAATAAAAATCAAACCTACATAGTTGCGTTTTTTTGTTGCAGAGCGAGAGCGGAGATAAACGACGCGCGTGCGAGCGGGACGGCGACAGTGTCCAGTTCAAAACCAGTATAGGTTTTTTGGAAAAAAAGTGACCCATCCTAGAGGCATCGCCTAGTATGCCAGAGTAGTTGAGTGCAGTGAGTGTTGAATCTGTGTTCGAAAGTGGTTACAAAGATGGCCGCGTTTCCCGCCTTTTTTGGATTGCTCATGGCCGCTGTAGTGACAGGTGAGTTCTGTTTTTGATTTTTTTTAATTGCTTTCTTTTTTTAGACTATTGAGCGAGGAAATCATAATGAAAAGAAACTTTTTTCATAAAGGTAGTGTTCTCAATGAAAATCTCGTTGAACTCACATTAATCTGTCCCCATTTTATTTCTCATAATACTATTTGACTTTTCTTAGTTTTTTCTGATGTATAAAATACTTCTTAGCAGCCGCCCGCGACTTCGTAGAATAGAATAGAATAGAATAGAATAATTTTTTATTTGAAAGAAAGACATACAAGCAGGAAAAACATACATACACAATGAAGGAGATACACAAATTAATGTACAGATAGCTGCTTGAGCCCCTCTGACAAAAAGGCACCCGCTCAGCATACATCAAGACCGCGCCAGGGCTTGTCTCGAAACTGATTTTCAGCGGGGGCCCCGTTTTACCCCCTTAGGGGTTGAATTTTACAAAATCCCGTCTTAGTGAGCACCTACGGTCTACGGTCTAAAGGATCCCCACGCAAAATTTGAGACTCCTAGCACTTGTAGTTTCTGAGATTTCGTGATGATTGAGTCAGTCTTTTTGTGTATTCCATTGTGGCGGAATTGCTAGTACTCGCCAGACGGGTTGGCGAGATTAGTAAGCTGAAGTGGCAATGGGCAGGGCATATAGTACGCAGAACTGACGGCCGATGGGGCAGCAAGGTTCTGGAGTGGAGGCCACGTACCGGAAAGCGCAGCGTGTGACGTCAACCCACAAGGTGGACCGGCGACCTCATAAAGGTAGCGGAAAGGCGCTGGATCACAAAATATAACAGAAGACAAACTCCATACTAAACGCGCTCGAGCCACGCACACATAGACACCGCTCCTAGCAAGACTGTCTTGGACGAATGCGAGCGCGACGCGTTGACGCGCCGGTCAACCGCCTGTGATATTATTTTGTTTTGCGAAATTGACGAAAATGAGTAAACAGAATAAGTCGTATTATAATTGTTCGGTATTTGGTTGCTTAAACTCATCATTAAATACCGAATTTTCATTTTTTAAGTTACCAGTTGATTCGGGGAGGTAAGTAAGTTATTTATTTGAATTTCAATTGAAATTGAAAGCCAACTCAATTATTAGGAATATCGAATTATTTTAGAGAGGTTTTATGAATTATTGGATAACTAGCTTTTGCCCGCGGCTTCACCCGCGTGAAATTCAGTTTGTCACAGATCGTCATAAATTATAGCCTATATGTTATTCTGGGTTATAAACAATAATACTGTAAAGTTACATCAAAATCCGTTCAGTAGTTTTTGCGTGAAAGAGCATCAAACATCCAGACATCCAAACTTTCGCATTTATAATATTAGTTGGATAATAGTGTCAACCACTCAACTAAATATTACTTCCTTCTCGTGTATTTGTTTGCAAACTATTACTATAATAACGTACTAAATATAATATAAATAAGTATACGTGGATATCTGTTATTGTCTTTCTTGCATAGTATTAAGAGTAACATTTTTCTATCATAACGAAATAAACGCAACACATAACAAGACAACCCTAGCGTCCCTAGCGCGACGGCCGAGCGTGCGAGCGAGACAGGTATGCAAAGCGAGGTACATACATGAGTTTACCTTCTGTTATATTTTGTGCCTGGATGCAGGCCGCCACCAACCGGCCATTGTGGAAATCATTGGGGGAGGCCTATGTTCAGCAGTGGACGTCCTATGGCTGAAATTATGATGATGAGTCAGTCAGTGACCTTTCGCTTTTACGTAGATGTATTTCCAAAACAACAAAATTCTCAAAACAAGATACGATCTTTCTAACGAAATCCGTAAAGATAACTTGAGTTTATTTGATAAAATCTTTCCAAACTTGCTAAATATACCTAATTCAAAGAACTTATTTGCCTTTGACAACATTTAAACTCGTATCAACACCAAAGAAATGTAGCAACTTAATGTTAAGACTAGTGATGCAACGAATATTCGTATTCGCCGAATAGTAGACATTTACCGAATATTCGTATTCGGTGAAATGATAACTACGAATGGGAAAACCCCGGTCAGTATGTAACAAAAAGTAGTAAGTTCTCTTCTGGAATTTGACAGTCAATAGCAGGTCGATTGTACAAGTATTATTTGTTTTGTGAAGTTACAAAGTAAAGTGATACAATAACAGAAAAATATGCCATTTGTAAATTTTAATTACTGAAACATTAACCATAATAAAAAGAGTTTTTATGAGTATTTCATGACAATGTACAGATATTCGTATTCGAAAAGTATTATTCGTTGCATCACTAGTTAAGACATGTTCCAGAATGTTCCTGTTTGTGAAAAGGGAATATATTTTTATTTGGCAAGAAGTTGAATCTTTGTATAGGCTTCAAAGGGAAAGCGCCTTAGAAAGAATTATAGTCTACAATCATGAAGCTTTTGTACATAATTGAAGTAATATTCATTCGTACAGATTCAAAAAGGATGTTTTATGTGCGAACGTTTAGCTATGGTAACGGAGTTATTTATGTTTTTTTTTATGTTAGTAACTAGCTTTCCGCCTGCGTGGAATTTTGTCTGTCACAGAAAAACTTTACCGCGCGCGTCCCTGTTTCAAAAACCGGGATAAAAACTATCCTATGTCCTTTCCCGGGACTCGTCTTTGACTCATCAGACATTACAACAAAGTCCCTCGACCATTTGTGGTGAAAACACTCGTATCACAGGCATATTTAGCTTAGTATGAGGGGCTAACGGGATTATTAATTTCAATATTCTTAGTTATTTAATTTTTAGCGTTAAGAGTCGCATCTCAAACTAATTTGAAAATTATAAATAACTTGAAAAAATCGAACTGCCTAAGGCGGGAATTGAACCCACGCTAACGCTCTAAGTAGCTCAGTTGGAAGAGCAGTCGCCCGGCAAGCGGAAGGTCGTGGGTTCAATTCCCGCCTTAGGCAGTTCGATTTTTTCAAGTTATTTATAATTTTCAAATTCAATATTCTTTTTTTATAAACAAAAAAAGTTTAACGTGAGTGAAGCCGCGACCAAAAACTAGTGTAAAACTAAATATCGTGGTTTATTTTTAAGTCTTTTGAAGATGAAAACGGTAGGCTTCTAAAGAACTGTCAAGGTAAATAAAAGTTTTTACGTTTAGCGGTAATGGATAAAAGTGCTTATTTAAAAGCTTTTTGATGGTCTTATATTTCTAAGAAATAACCTTGTACACTTTTTTACGTCTATTGGGTATTTGATACCATTTTATTCTAACAATTTTACCTATCTACAACTTTTCTGAAACCGCCACAGATTAAGTTATAATCCAAGTATGCGAGTTTGAGCGCCGGGAAAAACTGGGATAAAAATAATCCTACGATTTTCTGAGCTTTTTATTTGTGTAGTACTAGTTTAGTTCGTGTGTAAACCTGACCTTAACCTACGTTATCCACTCGAACGCCGGGAAAAATTGGGTTAAAAACTAACCCATACTTACCATGTTTTTCGAAGATTGTAATCTGTCTAGATACTATTTTAGTTCGTGTGCAAACCTGACCTTAACCTACGTTATGCACTTGAGCGCCGGGAAAAACCGGGATAAAAACTATCCTATACTATTTTCCCTGTTTTTGTAAGACTTATTTGTGTTACTATTTTAGTTCGTGTGTGTACTTGGCCTTAATCATTATCCACTCGAGCCCCGGGAAATTTGGGTTAAAAACTATCCTATATTTTCCCTGTTTTTCTAAGATTGTAATTTGTCTAGATGCTATTTTAGTTCGTGTTAAACCTGACCTTCGATATCCACTCGAACGCCGGGAAAAATTGGGATAAAAACTATATTAAGTTTTCCCTGTTTTTACCCGATTGCGCTAGGAGGGTTAAGCACTTTTATTTTTGTTACTACATATTATTATTTTAGTTCGTGTATTAACTTGCCCTTAACCTACGTTATTCACTCTAGCGCCGGGAAAAACTGGGATAAAAACTAATAAAATAGATATAAAATATAAAATATCTAATATTTTCCCTGTTTTTGTGAGCTTATTTTAGTTCGTGTGTAATCTTGCCCTTAACCTTCTCCGTGTCGCAATCAGGGTAAGTGTGAATTAATACAGACATAACAGTTTGTTTGTTTAACTTGAAGGTATGTTTTGAACTGGCTTCCGTTCGGAGAGTTTAGGGTTCGGAGGGGAGAGATGAAAACCGGTAACTCACTTACCCGTATTCACAAACGATGCTTGCTTAAGTGAAGCAGCAAATCGAACGCACAGCGTTGAATAAAGCTCTGTGATTGGTTCGTGTGTCACCCTGTGATTCTACGCGCACTGTGAGACTCTTAGTAATGTTTGTGAATACTGGCGTAAGACCCAAAACAACATCAAAATCAAATCAAAATATCAACTAAGCTAGCAATAATATCAAAATAAGGTCATAGCAGACTTATCAACTCGGAAAGGGATCAACACCGTATCGCCTTTTGCGAGCTGTCATTGCCTTTCGCGAGCTGTCAACCGCGAGGCGAGGCTTTTACGTTACGGTGCGGATAAGTGTGCGTTGCAGTATGGAGTTTCAGACAAAGAATAAAAACTTATAAAACTCATTTATTTTTGCAATTAGGCTTTGAAAAAGCACTTTTACACGTCCCAGAATTAACCCTACCACTGCTTCGGGACAATAAATGGGCCCGTGCTGAGAAGAAGCAGCGCAAGAAACTATACTGACCGCCTCGAGTTAATACGGTTACGATCCCTTTCCAGGTTGATAAGTGTGCTAGAGATATAGAGAGACTTTGAGACCCAAAACAACTTCAAAATCAAATCAAAATAAGCTAAGCTAGCAATAACATCGAATTATAATTCACTTTCCCCAGA